CCCCCCCCCCCCCCCCCCCCCCCCGCCCCCAACCCCAGGTCCTGGAACGAAGCCTTTTCCATTCTCTTCCTGGGGCTCCCTCCTTCCCCCCTCCCTTCCCCGGCCGGGCTTCCCGTCCCGGTACCCAAAACCTCTCTGGGCACAAGTGGTACCAAGAAGAAACGAGGAGACGATGACATGGCCAAGGGCAAGCCCCTCCCCCGCGCGTGGGCCCTGCGTGCCCCTCCCAGCGGCCCCAGCAGGACAAGCCGGCCTCAGGCCAGGGGGGAGGTTTGCAGCTTAATTGAGCGGCTCGTTATGCAAGCCAGTTTCTCAAACTGATCATCACGGCTAATAATTATATAGTGCTTGTGAGCCTGCAGAGAAACTCTCGCGTGCATTATCTGATTTAATCCTCACGACGCGCCTCTGGGGGGGGGGGTGTCCTGCGATCCCCAGTTCACCAATGAAGAAACACGCCGAAGGAGAGAGGGTGGCTCCCCTGGACACAGGTCACCGACCTGCAGGTGGGCGGTGGGGGCCCAGTCACCCCTCCGAGGCTCCTTCCCCTTCCCAACCTCCTGTTTCTTCTCAATCTGATGAGGAGCACACAGGGCCACACACACGTCCCCTCTCTTTAAATAGATACCTGCCTCCCCTCCCCCCCTCCTAGATTAGGATCTTAATAATAGGTATTTCAGTGCTAGAATCAGAGGGCTGTGATCGTAACTGTTCAAATAGGAGTCAGATTTCAAAACAATAGACGTCTTAGGCCCACAGTCTCCGGCGGTCAGCCGAGCCTGGGAATATTAGCGATTGTGGGAACAGATCTCCCCCTCCGGTGCCCGCCCCAGCCCCCTCTTCCACACGCGGCACGTGTCACCATCGGGCACTTGTGAAGCCCACAGGGCTGGACGGTGCCTTTGCTGCAAGTCCAAGGAAGACACGCTCACATGCACAAGAAATGCCCTTAGCACAAGCCTAAGGGATCCCGACCAGGCAGATCCCCCAGGTCAGAGAGCAGAAAGGACCCCACTTCTTCAATGAACCCTCAGATGCCAAGGCAGCCGTGTCACCGCCATCAAAACCCAGCAATGACCAGCACAGTGATCTTCTGGGAATATCGGTGACCCCCCCCCACCAAGAGCTGGGCCACAGAGCAGGGTACCGGAGGCCCCAGGCGGGCTGGCTCTAATATGTTCCTCTAAAAGCAAACAATTAAAAACAAACCTTCAGGCCCAAAGGCGTAGGAAACTCGAATGAACCAGAGTTCTAAAAAGCCTGACAACAGTGATGTTCTCCAGCAGCCAATGTGGCCCTAATTTTCCTGCCCTGCGTCTCTTTCTCTCTCCTCGGGTGACGCCCCTGCTCCCGTGGTCCAGCAACTGAACTTACTGTTTGAACTGGCAAATTACACAACAATAAAAAGGATGATTATTCAAATGGGTGTAACCTTCTCCGCACAGCCTGGCAGATGCCGGAGACATTTATGCAAAGCGGAGGGAAGCGAATGCCCTCCAGGGTGGGGAGACAAAGCTGTGAGCCACAGTCAGCCGGGGAGGGCCAGTCTCCCGCTCAGACCTAAGAGACCGGGGGAAGAGACCAGGGAACATTCGGCCTGCCCCTTTCTCCTCCCCCTGCCGGGATGACTAGGGCCTCGCTCGGTTGCAGAAATACCCCCATGTTGTCCAAACTCCAACGAAGATTTTTTTTCTTTTTCAACATTTCTTCCAGGGGTTAAGCGGCCGACTTGGGCTCAGGTCACGATCTCACGGTCCGTGAGTTCGAGCCCCGCGTCGGGCTCTGTGCTGACCGCTCGGAGCCTGGAGCCTGTTTCGGATTCTGCGTCTCCCTCTCTCTCTGCCCCTCCCCTGCTCATGCTCTGTCTCTGTCTCAAAAATAAATAAACGTTAAAAAAAAATTAAATACATGAATAAACATTAAAAAAACTAAAAATAAAAATGTCTTTCAAACTTACATATAAGTAACTCATCACCCTTGGTGTCTAGCCTTATGCATCAGAAAATGCTCAACCGGGACTTAGGTATTTTGACCTCACGGGTATAACCGTTGACTTAAAAGACAAAAAAACCAACTCGTCTCCAGGAAGGCCTCTCTTCTGGTTCTGGTACCGCTCCTAACTGGCATGACTCCCTGGCGGCATCCCTGACACGTTGGGCCTCAGCTTCCGATCTGTAAAGTTAGTATGACCAGGAGGCTGCCAGGCTCGGGGTATTCCGACAAAGGGTGACCCTCCTGGGGCACAAGCCAAGAACCTGTTCTGCTACATTTACTTTAGCTTTTCCTTGAAGAAGCGGGAGCCTAGCCTCTGAGAATTCGGAACGCAAAAGCAAGAACAGAACAAGCTTCACGAAACAGAAGAATCGAGGTTTCTAGAAAGGTTATGCCCCCCACGCCTACAACAAAATAAAATAAAATAAAATAAACCAAACCACCTCCCTCCTCATACCTGCACAGTCCCAAACCTGTCTAGGACCTAAGGATGTCCCCTTCAAAAGGCAAGTCGGGGTTCCTGGGTGGTGCCATCGGTTAAGCGTCCGACTTCGCCTCAGGTCACGATCTCACGGTCCGGGTCCGTGAGTTCGAGCCCCGCATGGGGCTCTGTGCTGACAGCTCAGAGCCCGGAGCCTGCTTCGGATTCTGTGTCTCCCCCTCTCTCTGCCCCTCCCCCCAGCTCACGCCCGGTCTCTCTCTGTCAAAAATAAATAAAATAAACGTTAAAAAAAAAAGGTGAGGCAAGTAGAATGCCACCTGATAAACCCACACGTACCAGCAGCTCCGCGCAAAGACAGGGGGATCTGCAGAGATTAGGGGGCGAGGCGACACGAACAGACGGTGAGGGGCACAGGGGATTTTTAGGGCAGGGGAAACTGTCTGCCCAAGCCCATGGGATGTACGCACCGAGAATGAACCCTACCGAAAACTGGAACTTGGGAGACTACGACGTGTGCAGGCAGGTTCATCAGCTGTAAGAAATGTCCCTCTCAGGTGGACGATGTGGATGGTGGGGGATGGTCCCGTGTGTGTGTGTGTGTGTGTGTGTGTGTGTGTGTGTGTGTGGGGGGGGGGGGGGGGGGAGAAGTGTCTAAGGGAAATCTCGGCACCTTCCCCACCTTCCCCTCAATTTTGCCACGAACCCGAAACTGGTCTCAAAAAATGAAATTTACTTGAAGCCGCAACACGAACCCCAAAGGACCCTGAGGATCTCATCGGGCTTCAGCTTCTTTTCTGTGAGCGGTGGTTTCCTCCTTGGGGAATTCATGGGGTCTCACGCCCTCCCACCCCTAAGCCTAGGCCACCACCCTATGGGGACTTGTCGCCTTCTAGCCACAGTCCAGTCCGTCTACACTCACTCTCCCTCTGAGCTGAGGGCTCTTCCTGGGACGCAGGGAGCCCAGCTGCGTGGCCCGGTCCACTCTGGCCCCTCCACCACCACCCCCTTGCCCCAACCACCCAGGATAAAAAGAAAAACCGAGATTCTTAAGACATACGAGACAAGGTCCGAGAAACATGTCAAGCTTTCTGCCTTGAAAATATATGCAACCCCCCCACCCCACACACACACAGTCTTTATTTTATGGAAGGACACCTGGATCACTAGGAATGGGACTGCTCTGTCCCCTCATCTTGCAGAGTTGGGGCTGTCCAAGCCCCTCTACTCCCCAGGGGAGGAAGGGAAGGAGCCAGAGCCATCAGCTGGGGGCTTTACTTCAGGCTCAGTGCTAGCTAAATGCCTCAGTATCCCCACTGCGGGGAGGCCAACTTGACAGGACAGGAAGGGGGGGGGGGCGGCAAGCTCAAAGCTGGAAGACAAGTCGCTGGCAGGTTGCGGGGAGGGGGTGTCTCCCCCAGGTTTCTTGGGCACTTGGTACCTTAGGCCACATTAAAGCATTTTCAGAGGGAAGGGAAAGAGGAGGTCCCTGGGTCATTACGGTCCTGGTCGCTGGACTTTGGTAACAAGTGTGGGCTAATCTCGTACCTTCTTCTGGGGGCCTCTCTTACCAACCCTAATTATCTGGCACCCCCTAAAAAAACTACCCCCGCCCCCCCCCGTGTCTTTCCATCTCGTCACCTTGTAAGTTATAGCGCACCTCCAGGGTCAAACACACACAAGCTGCAGCCTATCAGCCTCCCCTTTCCTCTCCTACAGAAAGCCCAGGCACCCGTGGACAGGGAAGAAACTTCTAGAAACCCTGACTGTGGACAACGCTGGAGAGACCTTAACTCCCAACAGTGGGTCTTAACTCTGGGTAAGTTTCTTCTTTAAAGCCGCTTTCTAACCGCCCCCCCCCAAAACCCCGAGGGAGGCCAGAGGAAGGGTGGGCGGGAGATGCGTATCAGCTCTGGCCCCTCCTTATCTGGAACCTTCTTCCTTTCCTAGGGAGCCTCAAAGCCCACCCGTTCAAAGAGCCACATCTCCATAAATAATTATCTCCATTTGGGGGAGATGTTTGCATATCAAAGAACTCCTTTGGGAGGGTTTTAAAAATAATTTAAAATGAAATTGTAAATAGTCTGCTGTTCTCGGGGTCTCCCGGGTCCCCAAGCCGGATCGCTAGGGCTGCCGGAAGTGATGTCATGACTCATTACAAAGTTTACTGGGGCCTTTTCCCCCTTCCTTTTATTTTTATAATTTTTTTTTTAAGGTAATGGGTAGAAAAGAAGAAAAGTAACAAAAGGCTGGACTCCCCCAGGCCTCCTCCTCCTGCAACCCTCCCCTCTCCTTTCTCCACCCCCAACCCCAACCCCCACTGCAAGGATTTGGCCTCCATTGTCCTAGAATTTCAATACTGCTCAGAAAATGAAAAGCCCCTGAATGCCATAAGGGGGTGGGGCGCAAAAGAGCATCTCGGTCCTTTGGGTCAACTCAAGATGCCTTTCTTTTTGGCAGAATCCTCTGTTATAGACGCTGCTTCACAAAGGCCTGAGTTCCTGTTCCTGGAAGGGGCTGGGGGGGGGGGGGGGGTAAGTGGAGGCGGGGGAGGGAGAGAGGGTTTCAATTAGAAGCTAATAGGCTTTTGTGATGAGCTCTCTGGGGCACCGCTCCTGCGTTTATTGGACCTGACTGTGTGCCGGGACCAATCCTGTGCAACCAGAGTAACGTGTCCCATTTCCCGGAAACACACACACACACACACACACACACACACACACACACGCACACGCACTTTTTTTTTTTTATCATTAGAAAGAAAAAGAGTTTTCAGGGAAGCGGACTTTTTAAGAAAGTTAATCCAGCCCTGCTGGTGGGGCGGAGAGGGACAGGGCAGAGGACCAAGCGTGGAGGAGGGGAGGGGGGCACCTGACCCCAAGTGAGCAAAGCCCGAGGTGACGCGGTCCTGCTCCTGCTTTGCAAGGCTTCCTGGGCGGCGACGGGGCCAGGCGCCAGGCGGTGGTCTCTGATCAGCGCTGGCTTGGGGGTCTGGCACAGGCTCCTGGGGCAGGGAAGCCTCAGCACTGCGGGGGGGGGGGGGGGGGGTTAGGGGGGGGCTGCTGGTGGGGCGGACAGGGACCGCCCCCCCCACCGCCCCCGGCCCAGAAAAAGGGGCCGCACTTGCCTGGCAGCACAGGGCCCGCCTCCTCTGTGTCACAGGCTCCTGTAAATCGCTCCCTGCCTCATCCCGAGACAATCTGCCTTCCCTGTGCCCTTGGTAACTCGGTGCAAATGTTTGTAAACAGGCCCCCGCCCAAGAGCTGCAGAAAACAGCACTAGCTGTGGACACAGAGCGAAGGGCAAGCACTACCCCTTACCCGGGAAGCTGGGGGAGGGAACACACAGGGCAGGGGGGCAGGGGGAGGGGGCTTTCTAAGACTGTTAAAAAAAAAAAAAAAAAAGCAGAGGCTACAGAGCACACGAGGCTGTGCATTCTGGCTCCCGCTTTGGACAGGAAGGCACTCAAAGCTTTGGGCTCGGTTTCCCTCTATATGCAAGTTAATGGGTTCGTCTAAAAGGATGTTCTTGGGCTCTCAGAATCTGAAAAATGACGCTGATCATCTCCATCTCTCCCCACCGCACCCCTCCTCCATTTCCTGTTCAGCCAGCAGTGGTCTGACCCAAGCTGGCAGGGGTGAAGTCGAACCCGGATGGAGAGATCTGTTTCTTTGACATGCATTAACTACATCTCAGGGGCACCGGTATAGGCCAACAACACCTTGGGGTGGAATTCAGACAGAGGCCAATGTTCAACGGGCCCTGAATCTATGCACCCGCTTATTAAATAGCCTGGTGCCTGGTGGGCTGGAAAGAAAAGCAGGGTTCAGGGTCAGGCTGTGTGGCCTCCGGCAAAGTGCCTAACATCTCGGAGTTGCCTTTCCTCATCTGTAAAGGGGAAAGATTTGTCCTGCCTAGTTTACAAGAAAATAATAATAATAATAAAATTGGATGTCATTTGCAGGTGAATAAAAGCTCTTAAAGCAGCACGACCCTACCCAAAGGTAAGGTGGAATGAACCCCACTCGTATCTCTTTATTATCTCCTCTGGCATGTGGCTGTAAATCCTAGGGGTATTTCTGCGGAAATACTGCTAAGGAAAAAGAAAATACTAAACTGGTTCTCAAATTCAAAGGCTCATGAAAAAACAAGCTATCTGAAGAAGTCTCAGCTTCCCTTAATTCTCCACTCGTGCTATAAAAGAGCTCATGATTGCACCTTCTCTCCTAGTCCCCTGGTAGGACATCAGAGACAAAGGAATATCGAGTGCCCATTCTTGGGTTGACTTCAATGAATGAGTGTGGTGATCCAAGCCACAGAAGAATGGAAAATGAGGCAGCCTTTAATACAATAGAAACACAACCTACTTGGGAAGATTCTTTCCTTTTTTTTTAAACGTGGCAGAGAATGTTTACAAGGATCAAACCAGCCACAGTTTGGGGGCGGGGGTCCATCTGAGGCTGAAGGAAAGAAATAGCCCAACTGGCTGAAACCAGACCCACCTAGTGTAGACTTGATATCATCAGTTACCTTCCTGCCTCCCGGCTGTGCGGCCAGTAGGAGTTCGGGACCAGAGAAATCCCAGTCAACTCTAGACTGAAGTCCAAGATAACAAACAGGACCCCGTTTTATGGTTATCAACTGAAAACCGTATAAAGTGAATTAGGCCAATAAAAATCCCGAGATGTAAGTTTGAAGTCAAGCTAAAGTAAAAGGAAATGACTACAAATAAACGTCCCTTATCGCAGGCTTTAAATAGCTCAAGAACGTTTTAGAGAAGAAAAGAAGTACTTTCTACCCAGAGAGAATATCCAAGGGAGAGGATAAACTTCAGAGGAAACTGCTGACAAAAGAAAAAATTGCTGGTTCTTATCTCACACTCCTGACCGTCATCAGTTGGGCTTGACCAAGTCCTTGACACTGACACACAGGGGTCTCAAGAAAATGAGTGGCACCACATTGCCGATGGAAACCCCAGAGACACTCACCAAAGTCCCCCAACTCCCCACCCCCCAACCGTTTTGGAATTCTCAGCTTAAAAAGCATGGAAGTTCACCAGGGTCCGTTTTCAGCAGAAGAAAAGTCCAACTTCCCCAATTCCCATCCGTTCTTTGTCACGGTCCGCCATTTTTTTTTTAATATAGAAAAGCAATAAATTTGGAACAGATTGTAGAGTCCAACTTGACTGTGGATTTCATGTCCAAGGAAGGACAGGAGGGATGGAACGTGTTGGGAGGCTGATGCTACGCTCCAGGGAGTGTGTGTCCCATGGTGATTTTTTACATTCAATGAGAAGTTTTTGGTGGATGAGCCTGCCTGCCTGGTGAGTCTTAACATTTCTAGCAGTTCTGTGCTTTTAGACACCGCAAGTCCCCCAAGGGAACAAAACTTTAAGCACCAAAGAGATCAAATAACTAAATGGTGAGTGAGAGAGGCTGCTAAGAGTTACAAGTCAGATTAGCCTTTTACCCTGCATCAGCCTGAGCGGAACACTAACCCTGTAACTATTTTTAAGCCTAATGACTATTTCTAAGAACAAAACGTCTGGTACAATCTTACCGCCCTCCATGTTTTGTTCGTATCTGTTCGGATTGTGAATGTTAAGGATTTTTTTTTTTTAAGTTTATTTACTTACTTTGAGAGAGAGAGAAAGTGGAGCAGGGGCAGAGAGAAGGGGAGAGAATAAGAGAATGGAAATCCCACGTAGGGTCCGTGCTGTCAGCGCAAAGCCCAACATGGGGCTCAAACCCGTGAACTCTGAAACCATGACCTGAGTCAAAGCCAGATGCTTAACCCACTGAGCCACCCAGGCGCCCCGAGGACCTTTATCTTCAAAAGACACACAAAACAGCAAAAAAAATGGATGTGCTTGATGTGCAAATAATGTGCTTGATGAACAAGTAAATGAATGAATGAACGTAAATGAGCCAGCAATGCTTGAGGCTAAATGACTGGAAGCCATTTGCAGATATCCAAAGAGAAGAGGACGCAACCTGGGATGAGAAGTTACTGTTTGGGGCCAGGTTGGAAAACGGTGATGACCTCAGAGGCGCCTGGGTGGCTCAGTTGGTTAAGCGTCTGAACTTCAGCTCAGATCCTCTCCAGGTTCACGAGTTGGAGCCCTGGTCGGGCTTCCGTGCTGACAGCTCGGAGCCTGGAGCCTGCTTCGGATTCTGTCTCTCTCTCTCTGCATCTCCCTAGCTTGTACTTTCTCTTTCTCTCTCAAGAATAAATAAACATTAAAAAAAAAAAAAAAGAAGGAAAATGGTGATGATCTCCTATCCCGACGCCCAAAGAAATGGACTGTGCATTATTTTCACTGTGGCAACAATAAGTGGGCTGTTTTCTTTTAATTTTTAAAAAATGCTTATTTATTTTTGGGAGACAGAGTATGAGTGGGGGAGGGACAGAGAGAGAGAGAGAGAGAGAAAAGGAGACACAGAATCCAAAGCAAGCTCTGGCACAGAGCCCCACTCGGGGCTCGAACTTGTGAACCGTGAGATCATGACCTGAGCCAAAGTTGGATGCTCAACAGCCTGAGCCACCCAGGCGCCCCAGAGTTTGATGAATGAAGTAGGTAAGTGGGTAAATGGACAAATGCTAGACCGAAGCTGGATTTGATCTAAGGCGGTGGGAAGCCACATCAGACGGAGCAGGGGAGTGGCACAGAGATCTATTTGGAGTGTGGCCGATGGAGCTTCCCAGCAACACATATTGCACAGATCTGGGCTCCGGGAGTCCTACTGGAGACTGATACAAGGAGACGTCAAGAGCGGCGCCCGGGTGGCTCAGTCAGTTGCGCATCTGACTCCCGATTTCAGCTCAGGTTGTGATCTCATGGTTCATGAGTTCGAGCCCCGCGTCGGGCTCTGCACTGAGCGCTGGGATCCTGCTTGGGATTCTCGGTCTCTTCCTCTCTCGCTTTCTCCCCAAAATAAATAAACATTAAAAAAAAAAAAAAATAAAAAAATTAAAAAGAACAAAAAAAAACTTCCCACATGGGGGGGGGGGCGGGGGATGTCTTCCTTCCAGTTAGCTGACTCTAGGCTTTTACTGCCTTTGAAATATTCTGCAACTCTAGGAATTCTAAATTAACAACACAGCGATGCAATATAGCTCTTGACCACAGGCATTCGGAGAAACGCTTTCTGGGGGAGGCTCTGTGGATTTCCTTCTCCACTTCCCACCGCTTGGGGAAAAAAGCCCGATTCCCACCCTCTTTCTAAAGTCACAGCAACGTTTCTTTACTCCAAGTGAATTTATGTTCTTTTGACGTCTCCTCGGAACCACAGGTAACACCTGTCTGGTTCTCTCATTAATCGTGAGTGAAATAAGGGGCGTCTGGGTGGCTCAGGCGGTTAAGCATCTGACTGGGTTTCAGCTCAGGTCAGGGTCGTTCGGGCCCTGCATCCGGCTCTGTGTGCTGACAGTGCGGAGCCCTCCTTGGGATTCTCTCCCCCCCCACCCCCAGCCCTCCCCTGCTGTACTTTTTCCTCTCTTTCTCAAAAAAAATAAAAAGAAATCACCTTAAGTATGTTTTCAATAAGGGAGAATCGCGAGATCATGACCTGAGCCCCAGTCGGACGCTCAACCGACTGAGCCACCCGGGCACCCCCAGATCATCTGCAGTTTTTAAAGCAAGGTTGGGGGGGGTGGGGGTGGCGCATGGCACTAATGGGCTCTGAATTCATGGGCATTAAGTTGTAGCTTCCCACAGAGTGATGGGGGTGGGGGGGGGGGAAGAGTCAGCAGCAAAATGTAGGTTCTCACCCAAGAAGTGTTTTAAACAAACAAGGATTTAGGTTTTTGTGTCCATATGTATGTGTGTATGTGTGTGTATATATATATGAAAACAGAAACTGAGAGAACGCAGATAACTATACCCCCAAATTTTGGCTAGAATTCTGGCCCGGAAAGGCCAATTCTGGGCAGGTGGGTCAGCCTGGGGTGGGCGGGCGGTCTCTCTGGGAGGCGAGCCAGAGGCAGGGTGCCGAGAGTGGGCCGCCACTCCCTGAGAGGCTCAGTGGTGTTCTCCATTCACGGACAAAACCAAAGAAAGGCCTTTAAGCTGCTACTTTTCCAAATGAGTCCACTTCCAAATCCCGGGGGCTGGGAACACAGGGCACTTAAGCCCCTGAGCAAACACCACCTAAAGGAGAGAACAAGAGACGTGTGGCCCTCTGCTGCCCCATTAGCACGTTTGGGAAATTAGTGTAGCTCCAACCCCTCCAAAGGGCAGTTCCCCTGCTTCCCCACCGCCCCCCACCCCCACCCCTGTGCTCGCTAAATGCGCATTGATTCATTCGTCATTTGGAGGCAGGTGCCACTACTGGGTAACAAGTTGAGACTCGGAATCATCTGAGTGTAGAAAGAAGCTCCCTAAAGCCGGGGCCCCACCCATCGCTCTCCACGAATCTGGAATCTTTAGGAGACAAATATGGTATCCGTCGGAGGAAGGCAACAGAAGGCAACAGAAATATCCCAACACAATGGTGATGACCCCTCCCCGCCCTGACCCCGACAGCAATGTCCCAGCCACCAGTCTGCTGCTTTACGGTAGGAAGTCCAACTGGGATGGCTGGTGTATTAGGTCAGTGGCCAGAGCCCAGGGGACACTCATTCTCCGTCCACGTAATATCGTCAGCATCACACTTAGGCCCCGTGAGCTTTGCTCACCACCCCGCTAAGGTTTTGCCTACAAATGGGACACACCTCCGTATTTTAGCACGGATCCCGATGATGGGCTGGCTTAATGATGGGTCTGCGCGTGGCCTTGGGAAGCCACAAAGACACTGATCACTGTAATACTCAAAGTTCAGGCAACAGAAAAATGACTGGGGGCGCCTGGGTGGCTCAGTCGGTTAAGTGTCCGACTTCGGCTCAGGTCACGATCTCATGGGTCACAAGTTCGAGCCCCGTGTCAGGCTCTCTGTGCTGACAGCTCAGAGCCTGGGGCCTGCTTTGGATTCTGGGTCTCCCCCTCTCTCTCTCTCTCTGCCCCTCCCCTGCTCGCACTTGGTCTCTTTCTCTCTCTCTCTCTCAAAAATAAATACATGTTAAAAAAAGAATGAAACAAAGAAAAACAACTGCCTCTAGTAAAGAGGCATCTTGTCAGAAGATGGTTCTCTCGTCGTTGACCATGAGGAGGTCAATTCTGAGACTGACTCTGCACTTTACTCACCAGAAAGGAATGTGTCTCCAGGATCTGGTTGCCTCTCCAACACCAACCTTCGCAGGGGCCATCTTTGAAATGGGCAGGGTGCGCCATCTTTGAAATGGGCAGACTGAGGCTGGGGGTGGTTAAACGGGGCCGCCCCAAATCAAACCCGGGGCAATGGCAGAGCCTGGCATCGAACATCAGAATGTTCAGCTCCGGATCTCACTGTCCATCCCAGTTCTCGACACTTCTAAGGGCCCCCAGGATTAAAAGGCTCCAACACAGCAGTCATCCACCTGACCCACCGACCCATCTGGTAGCACCCATCCGCTTCCTAAAAGGTTTCCAGCTTCTCGCCTTTTCTGATGATAAGAAATAAAAAGGCTTGGTTTTAAGTTAATTCGGGGAATTACATGGGGCATAAATTATAATGAAATAAACCTACTTGCATTCAATAAACGCGTGTGCGTGCGCACGCTCGCAGAGAGATTAACTTAGAAACTAGGAGCTAAACCTCTTACTGGTTCCCCGCACTCGTGCTCTTATGCTTTTTATTCGAGTTCATTTCTCAACTCAACCCTACTGAAACAAATGATCACACAAACGAAAATAATCAGATCAGCTTCTCCCAAGCATGGCCCTAATTCCTCTGTCACTGTTCCCGGTGCGCATTCGAGCCTTTAATTTCTTCGGCGGTGCCGGCTTTCTGCAGGAGGAAAGCCCTCACCCCAGATCCTAGGACCCGTGTGACAGGGCAGCGCGGCTCAAAGCAGCGGGCCCAAAAGGCTCTGCCGGTGATACGCGCCCTCCTGGCCGGAGTGAAGGAAAGGAGACTCAGGATTTTTCTTGGTGTGCTTTACAGGTGTCCTAGACAGACGCACGGACCCAAGGTTATCTCCTCGGCTCTCCTTCCCTTTGAGGGAGCCAGGCGTGAAAAGGAAAGGCAAGCTGGTTCCGAATGTCCAGAGGCCAGAAGGCACAGCTCAATCCACCTCTGGGAGCGGGGAGATCCAGGAGGCCGTGCCAGGCTGCACGAGCCTCCCAAACCCAGAAACAAACAGGCTGATAAATGAGTACTGAGAAACCGCTGAGCTGAGCCCCGCGAATCAATTCAATAGGCTGCCTCTTCTTCTAGCTCATTAACTATTTGAGATTACCATCATATGGGGAGTAGCCTCTCAGTTGGAAATTAAATTAGCCTGGCTATAAACCAGGAATGCAGACTGGAAAAGTATCTGATGAGCAACTCCTGGGGAAAAAAACAAAAAACCAAAAAAAGCAAAAACAAAAAAAACCCCACACCACCAAATGCTCTCCTCCCAAGCATCATTCCCCTCTGGCCTTCCAAGCTGGTCCCCTTCTTTGCAACGGCCCTCCTGAACGGTAAGAAAAGACGGCGACGGCAAAAGGCGCGAAAGCTACTCTTACTCTGGTTTTCGGATAAAACCGGGGTTGCTCCTGGTGGAATCCCGAGAGGGGCGGCTTGGGACTAAACGATCGGAAACGTGGCATCCAGAAAAAAACAAAACAGAGAAAGATGGCTTCAGATGAGTAAAGAAGAAAGGAAAGGGGGTGGGAAGAGGAGAGGGGGAGGGGGGAAATCGACACATACGTACCCCCCCCCACCCCCTACAACCCCCCCCCAGGGGTCGGTGCAGAGGTACAACCTCCAGTAACAAGGGCGGCAGGCACTAATTGCACACCCAGAACAGGTGTGTGCCTGCCAAGCCACCTCTTAATTACCAGGTTTGGCATTTGGGCACCAGCCGCCCGGCCCTGCTCAGCTTCTAAGAATGCTGGAGCCGAGAGTCCACGGAGCTGTTCTGTTGTAGGTCCGGAGAGCCAAGCGGTGGAATTTCTAATTACATGGCTTTAGGCTTTACCCTAATGAAAGGCTCCATCCAGACAAGCAAAAAAGCAACCGGCTTAGGGG